TCACGGTAGTCGAGGACCTTAAGCGCAAGCCTCTTTTGGTTGACCGACGGATTCAGGCGTGCTTGGAATACCGGCAGAGTCCCCTCGACCTTGTCCGTTTGGAAATACGGACCAATGAGTCCAACGTGTATGCCAGCCGGTGGGTGATTAGCCCGCAAGGCGGGAGAAAACTGAATGGCGTGGGCATTTCCGCAGGGGCACCGCCATCCGCGACTTGATGTGAGAGGTTTGAGTGTGAGCGTGTCTGGTGGGACTCGAAAGAAACAGATTTTTGCCTGGGCAGGGGGGCCCGGGGCACCGTGGATGAGCCCGCACCACTACTTTCTGCGCGGGTTGTGCACAAACGGGCTATTACCACCAAGATCTGCGCCGGGCCCGTCCAGGCTCAAGCTTTAGGCCTAGCACCGGGCCGCGGCTCCACTTTGCAAAGGGGCTAGAACGGATAGCCGAATGTGGTACAACGCCACCCCATGCTCGGGGGCCGGCTGATTCTGTAGGTAGGTAGTTGCATGCACTTAGCGAAGTTGGCTCCTACACCACTAGCTCACAGTGTAGTACCGGTCCGGGGCCCGCTACCCGGTCTGCGCTAGGCTGCAGCTTGGCGCAAAGGCGATCGAAGGGGTAAGGAGGCCGAAAAATGGACCTGGGCGTGAGAGAGCGCCAGGTGCTTTCAGATGGTGGGGAGGCAACAACGGGCGGAGCAATAGCGCGGCGAGCGACGGCGGCAGAGAGGAAAGCGCAGAATCACGGGAGAGGCGCTGAGGTAGGCAGCAACTGGTAGATAGGAGGGCGGGCCGTATGTGACCTGAAATGTGACGGGCGGACTGATCGGGAACGACGTGCTGCAAGGCGGTAGAGCGACGGGCACGAAAGTGGGGAGGGACGGAGTGCAGAAAACGAAGGATGAACCTGGACCGGGATCTCGTCTGGGTGCGTTGGAGGTGAGGACGAGGGAGGTTCGGGCATGGCCAAGTAATGAGCCATGGCGCAAGGCGAGGAGGAAGTGGGTGGATGCAACAGAGAGGCAAAGGGCGACGGGCAGAAGGAAAAATGGGGGGTGCTGAATGAATCGGGACGAGATGTGACATCGGGTACGTCCGACGAAGGAGATGGTGGAAGGGATACGTGGGCGCGGCTGGAAATGCACAACTCGCTGATTCCTTAGTGGAATCAGGCGAGTGAAGAGAGGAGCTTGGGGTTTTGGCCCCCGGCGAGTGCAACGACGTAGTTAGATTAGGAGTAGGGCTAGTATAAAGAGAGGTTAGTGAGGAGGGTGGTGCGTGGAGATATGGCGGAAGCCATCTATGGCCGGATAGGAAGTGGTGTAGCTCACCCTTCCCTTAACAAAAACACGCGGACGAAGATGCGAGTTAGAGGTTTTGGGGACGGGCGAAGTTGGTGGTAGTGCCAGTTTTAGTAGTAAGTTAGTGGATTGAGTGTTAGTAGAGATAGAGGGTGCGCTGAGCCATGACGGGAAGCTACGAAGGGGGGCGATTGGGAAATGCATATCTAGTGCATTCTGTTTGGACTTCGGCATAGTAGAAACCGAACCTATGATTCTAAGGTAGGGCGAGCGCAATAGTGCTGTTAGTTTTGGCAGAGGGTCGGTGGGATAGAAGTTAAGAAGGGTGACAGGGGGGGGATATGGCAAGGAATGAACCTACCTGGACTTCGGTAGAAGGTTCATTCCGATTTCGCTCGTCCGAAAGTTGGAACGGGTGTGAGGGCAACTGCGGGGTTAGCGACTTACCTGATCACTGTGCGGCTCACTCTAATGGCAGAATAGCCTTTCTCGATCTCCCTATGCGTAAATGGCTGGAAACGCAACGTATCCGTTTGTTTTCTAGCAGGAGAGTTATTAAACTTGGGCTTGCTGATGGCGGCAGCAGACACAGCGACTGCAGTTTGCAAAGAGAGAGAGAGAGAGAGAGAGAGAGAGAGAGAGAGAAAGAGAGAGAGAGAGAGAGAGAGAGAGAGAGAGAGAGAGAGAGAGAGAGAGAGAGA